CCTAACCCTAACCCTAACCCTAACCCTAACCCTAACCCTAACCCTAACCCTAACCCTAACCCTAACCCTAACCCTAACCCTAACCCTAACCCTAACCCTAGGTTATGAGTGCTATATTGACTACGGTGTTACACAAAGAGCTATATATAAGTAGAAAGATATGTTTATAAATATAGAGTTCGGGTTGCTTAGTAATCGGCTTCTCATCAGTTACCTGTGAAGGTAGAGATGATGGTAATCCAGTGAAGCTATGATAGTAGCTATTCTAAAAGTCCTTTAATTTATCTTCGTGTAGAGTTAACACTTATATTTTATATATCTTCCTAGTTAAAAATAGAAAGACGATAGACAATGCATCTTAATTACATTAACCTTAAAGATCCGTCTTGTTGGCCGCTCTGAATATTGCATTCTTCTTGCGGTACAGCGGAAGTCTGCTAAAAAAAGACTGGCAATTGACGCTGTGGTAACCAATCAAATTCCCGCTGCTTAGTCGGCCGAAGCTCCCATTCCTTACGGAGAGGACTGCTTAACTATCACGTGGTACTACCCCATCTCAGCTACCGTGTTACTTCTTCAGTTGGTTTGGAAGGCATAAATTTAGCAACAGCGAAAGAAGTAATAAGGTAGTTGAGATGGAAATGTTAATGTGGTTGGCCTAAAGGTGCGCCTTAACCTAAGGGCTTTTATCAGGTGACTAGAATGCTCTTTCTTGGCAGGGCGCCTGATGCTGACAGAAATACGAACCAATCGAACTACTCATCCACTATGAAGCGGGTGAGACAGAATCATCGATTTGCTAGTATAGAATGCCATGACCCTGCAATGAGCTAAAGGTCAATAAGGCAGACAACCTTAGAATGTTGTCATGGATGGCTTGGCGTCCAATGAGAAACACTGGCGCCACCTCAGCGTAGTGTGAAGTTGGTTGCGGCATACTAAAAGAAATCCAGCACCCAATAAGAAAGACGCCAAGCCATCCATGGACGTCGGTCATCCATCCCATGTAGACCACTGCGCTCAGCTATGCCTACATATAGTTTACTGCTCCATTGAGTGACCTCCTATATAATCCCTATGGTCTCCCTTTTCACATCACTTAAAATCAGACCACAAACAGAAAGATGCATTCTATAAGGTCCATCCGAATCCAGCTGGTCCTGCTGCTGACTGCATTAACAACCGTCTTCAATATTTTCCCACTGTGCAAGGCTTTCCCAAGGAGGGAAGACGATGATACGAGCGGTAAATTGTTCCATGTCCCTACCACCTCTTCCTCTCATAACAGGGTGTCCATAGCTGACGCTGTTACCTCGCTCACAATATATCAGGCTGCGATTTGCCGTCTGGCCGCTGCTGCCGTGCCCCTTCGAGATGGTGTGTCAATGCCTGCTGCGATACACGCACTGATGTCTGCACCAAGGGCGGCTGCTACCCACCGCCTGACCCGAACGTCGCCCTATCCGTCTGGCTCACATACTGGACTCACGGTGACATCTGTTACGACGGATCGAACGGCGAAACGGAATGCACCACCCATTCCGACGCGGGAGTTCCCTACATCATCGTCAACGGAGAGTTCTTTAGCTACGGTATAGTGACTGCGGGAATATTCAAGACTAGCGATGGTTCATCGTTATGGGGTGCTAGGTTCAAAGCTTCATGGCATCAGTATAGGAGTGATGGAAGTTTTATCCTTAAGAGCAATATGGTTGATTGTACAGGTGCGCCGTCTGGAACCCTGGGGTTGACGCAGGCGTATGTTCAAGTCACGGATGAGCGCACTGGGAGAAAATCGAGTCCGATTTTTGTTCAGGTAGGTTGCTGGCACTAAAGGAAAGAAAAGGATGGGGATCTGATAGGCAATGTCTGGAACAAACTATCCTGAATTAAGGGCATTCCTTTTCTTAGCTAGTTGTTGATCTTTGGCAAGGTTTAGGGTTATAAGCGGATCTGGATGCTACAAGCATTATCAAGGCGCGTCAGGTCGTGAGTGCTGTATTGACTACGGTGTTGCACAAAGAGCTATATACAAGTAGAAAGATGTGTTTGTAAACTGAAGGTTCAGAGCTGCTTAGTAATCGACAGCCTCTAATAGGCTGTTGGACTTCGCAGGTCGGGCCTGCGAGATGAAGATGATGGTAAGTCTGGTGAAGCCGTGACAGATTCCACCCATTGAGAACACTGTCAGGGCCCTTCTCAAAGTAACAGCTCCTAAGAAGTACAAGTGGCACCACCCACTGGCTAACAGAAAGGAAGAGTACCAATCCAAATCCGGTAATCTACAAAGCCCGGATACAGTATTCAAGTCTCCATTTATTCTTCCGATCACCTTAACCAAACAATTTTAGCTAGGCAATTCTGCAATACTCCTGAACCCATGTTTTCCTTCCCAGCCTTTCAATACCACAACCGATACATCCCTTGTATCCACTTTCTCTTCACCGGGCAAGCCCATGGGCGCCGAGAATCCAAGGACCCGTGTGGCATTAGTGTGGCATACCGCGCAAGAGACACGCGCCCCTTATAACATCCGGGAACGCACGCAAGTGGAGCAGAATGCGTGGTTGCACGGTCGAAGACTATGAGAAGGTAAGAGACGTTGGCATTCAACCTATCCTTGGGTACGAGCTGTGGAAAATACAAGCACTTACATGCTATCGCACAACCTCTTCCTGCAAGAGGTACACGCGACCTTCTGGGACACCGCAACCGACGTCCCCACCTGTACATCCCCGGCAGCGAAGTCGATCTCCCCAATGCTCTTGATTTGTCTGAAATAATGCTGCCCAGTAGTAGCGGCCGCCATTTCGCGGTAAAACTCGTAGAATAGATAACCAGCAGCAACGTAATGCTCCAGCGTGATCGGAGAAGGTGGGGTTAGTATGCCCATCAGGCCCTCGAAGGCGACGGAATTAGGAATCTGCACGCTTACAACCGAGGTGCCCGACTTGTTCCAGGTGTAGGGTCTTTCGCTGTCCGGCAGGATTTGCTGGCGGAGACGGCCGCCGGCAGCCAGGCCCATGGACCAGCCAGTGGTGTCCTCTGGAGCTTATCGGGTACTCGGTTGTTCAAATAACTGCGCATACGATGGAGATGCTGCCGATTGCGCCGCTTTTAGTAGTGGTGAACCGTATAAAGGAGTTGTTGCCAAGTAATCGGCGGGTGCCGCTGGCATACCCTTAGCGAAGGATGGCAGAGGAGCGCTTTGTATGTCCATGCCCTGGGTAAACACCCCACCCAGTGGATACGACTGAGGCAGCATCGGCTGTGGATACGAGTAATGCGACTGCGGTTGATACGACTGATACGACTGCCTCTGAGACATAACATCTTGATGCTTTCGCTGGCGGAACCAGCCAAGCCCCAAATTTCGCTTCGGCTTCTCATACTCAGATTTGATCCGGGCATCAATAACAGCGTTATCCGAGAGGCCAGCATCAACAAGTTTGGACCATGATTCAAGCCGTTTCCCGTCGTGGTGGAGCTCAAAGTTGGAGAGCGGCATGTCTTTCAATATGGTTCTCTTTCGTACCTCATCAAACAGTACAAAGGGAGAAAATTCCTGCGTGACGACAGCGTGTTTGCGAAAGTTCGTAGAGTCGATGATTTTGAGGCGAACGCTGTATAGTGCTGTTAATGGCAGGTTGGGCTGTAGTGGACCATCAGAATCAACGCGAAGCTCGCGCAGTAATCTTGGGCGGATCTCACGCTCCTTGCCTCCAAGAGTGGGGAATCCGTTTCCCATGTTCTTCAAGAACACTTCGCTTCCTGCCGATATACCGCATTGACGTGGGGATTTCGACAGCGTGAGGCTAGGATTATCGTACGAACCACGCGTACGCCTTACCTCCAGCTTCCCGCCAGAAGGGGTGATCTCAAGTTGAAGTCCGCCAATGTCCTCTTTACCTGTCAGCTGCTTCTCGATGGAGTACCCGGTACCAATGGGCATGGCAACGAACTGCTTAACCGTGTCCTTCGAGACGGCAATGCCATCAAGCCATTCCTGCGGCGGCGCTACAATATAGTCTTGCTTCGCATCCGTGGTTCTTGGTGGTGCATTCCAAGGCCGACCAGATACCGCATTGATACCTCCAACGAAGACACGTATGGCGAACTTGCTTTTTGCCTCAAATGAGATCCACATTGCTTCTCGCTGGTACATAGGGAAGAACACGCCAGATTTGTTCGCCATGTCAAGGAGGCTTTTGTTGTTAGACTTCCTTAGCTTGTTGGTATAAGGGGCAACATTATGGAGTGGGAGAAGTCCGAAGTCAGCAGGCAGACCATGCACCTGCTTGTCCTCCGGAACTCGCAACGTGCGATGGAAACCGATGAGAAGGTCACCATCGTTAATAGAGAGCCGGGAGTCAGTGCACTGTACACGAATTTGTACCCTCGATAAGAATGTTCCAAACGTTTCGTTCTCGTTGATGTGCAAGTCGGCGTCAGGATCGTAACGTGAGGGACCCCTCGTAACGAAGACCGGCCAGTCAGACCAGTTAGGCTCCTCGAGCTGTAGTGCCTTCCCAGCTTTCTCCGACTTCAATCCCAAGACTCGCTCATATCCTGTTCAGATGATTAGATGCCAAATACCTGATCATCAAACTCATACGGACCTTAAGCTGCGAGCAGTTCATTAAGCTGAGGGAGCGAGGTGTGCGCAGAGACGTCAAAGCTGATTTTGAAAGAACCTTTGATGTTGGGCTTTTTCAATCCTTCTAACCTCAACCTCGTGATTGGATCAGGGATGACAGGAATATTGTCCTGGCAAGGCAAGTCGCGGGCGTCGGAAGCACCATGGTAGCTAAACCCCTCAAGCTCATGAGATTTGGATTTCCCTAATTTCGAGTCAGATCAGAGATTGAGGCGCGCCATAAGAGGTGTTCCTGGTCGAACCTTGATTTGTGACGTCAAAGTGCTCATTCTGAATAGAGCCATTGTCCTTTGGCTTGGTCGAGATCTTTGCACCTACTCCAACTTGTGAGGAACGGAGAATATGTGTAAATCGGCAAAGACACAAGGAGTCCTACCTCCTTCGTTAATCACACCGCCTGCAGGCAATTCAAGCATAACGTTCCTCTCTGAAACATCCGCAGGCAACTCAACCCTCACCTTCTCCGCATGCAGCTCCACTGGATCATCAGCAGCTACCTCATGGGCTTCATGACCCTCGTGGATCTCCTGTTCAGCCTTCTTCGGCGAGAAAGTCGATAGCCAATCCCCAAAGCCAGAAAAACTCGTAACATCCACCACCTCCGCACTCCTTGACGGCAGGCCAGGAGACGGCGGGCGATGACTGTAGCCGTGATGGTCCATAGAGGCAATACTGCAGGAGATTCCACAGTATATTTCTTCTGCGAGGAGTTGCGACCGTAGAGGATTTACCCATGCCGAAGTTGCGACAGAGCCTTATTAGTAAGTCATAGTGGTTGCTCAGCTCTTCCAAGAAAAGCTTAGTGGCTGACGCCTCGGCGCCCAAGCGTCCAATCGTAAGAGGCTCGAAAAAGCCATCGCTTGAACCCTTTCCGTGGTTTAGGTAGCATGATTCACCATCGGCCGTGCCGCACTTGCAGCTGAAACCGGCTTACTGTATTATCATTGTAAAAGCGTCAGCCTCTCCTTGCCACCGATCTTTCACTAATGATTGACCGACATCGTTTTGAATTATGATAGCAGTGTCCTTGGCGATTAATGTCGCCGAGCACGTTACTACGAAGGTTATCAGGACCCCAGGCACTCCGCATTCGAGTCTCTTTTGACGAATGATCTTCTGTCTGACAACTTTCAACGTCTCGCGCTAAACCAGCTATTACACTCGCTTGTATGACGGAGTCAGCGGGCCTGGTCTATCATCACGGTCGCAATGCCTAGGCAACCTTTCAGACCGGCATTTGTGGGCTTAGATCGTCATAGCATTGCCCCGAAGCATGGAGGACCACGCGATAAACCTGGCTCTACTAAAGCCGCGGCAGCATGGATGAACAAGCTCTATACCCGTTCGAATTTCGACTTTTGTGGAGTTTACCTGACTGCGCCGCCTCCAACTGGAAAGACCAAGACGGGAGAATATACTTTCGCGAGCGGTTTCGTGGGCAATCTCTGGACCGCGCTAATGCCAGACCTACGAAAGCAAGGATGGGGAATTTTTTTCCTGTACGCAGCTTACAGCTCTCCTGGCACCAAGAACAGCCGTGCTCCTGTGCCATTTCCACTATACCTTGCCAGAGAGCATGGTGTTTTGCACGCCCAACACATCAAAAAGATTGTGGGTGGGCTTGAGTCGGACAACGCAGGAGCGGTGGTTTACATTGACAACGAGCAGGGAAAGGAGATGGTGCCAACCTTGGTACCGTATCTTGAGGAACTCTTCCGAGAGATGGCACGGCCTGGCCCCGACAACCTTGCTCCCGTGAGGCCGGGTTTCTACAATTGGGAAATCGGGTGTAGTCAGATGGCCACTAGCACGCCGGACCTACTCACCTGGGCAATAAACATCGAACCTCGATTCGATCAGCAATACAAAATCGTCAACGGGAAATTCATATCCGAGCCGGAACTCTACCCGCTCCACACCTCTACACATAAGAAGTTCGCTACACAAATGCCTGTAGGCCGACAGGGCGTCCTGGTCAATTACGTCCCAACTGAGGTCCCCAGGAACATGAAGAAGTTTCCGACAGTGGCTGACTGGAACATGGACTACAGCTTCGTCAGAGACCCACGGTATCCCGAAGCGAATCCGTGGTTCACATTGTCAGGTTCGACGAAGCTGCGAGGAGACTATAATAAAGATTCATTGAGCATGGAGATCAAAGCTTTTGATGCTCCGAAGTCTACAGTGATTGAAGGAACAGTCATCGAGCCAGAAGCTCCCATTGTGTTGTCTTCTCCCAATCGGGCCTTCTCACTCGACGTGAGTGGAAATGTGGTTTCTGCGAGCAAGCCAACCAATGGCTCTGAGTGGTCTGCTTGGGTGTCTCTTAACCTCCCGAACCCCAAGCCGGTCCTGCGACGTCTACGCGCTTTGGCAGCCATCTCTCCGAGCCAAGGCGAAACTCTTGTGTATTATGTCTCCAAGAATAATCAATTGTGCGGCCGGCGCAAAACGCAGACTGCGGACTGGACCGCTCCGGCCGTTCTCGCAGGCGATACTCTTGTGCACTATTTCAGCAACATCATCACCGTCGCGACCAAGAAAGAAGGCGTCCTCGTCCTCTTCATCGACTCGCACGTACAATTGCACATGGTGCGCTCGCTGGCTACACCGACCGACTGGCCTGGCGCCCTGCACATGCTTATTGGAGAGAAGACAGATAAGTTGCTCCCAGGTACCGGTCTTGCAGCTGCCATCCTGGCTTCCGGACAGGGGATCGTTCTTGCCATTGGTCGCGACCTCCGTCTATACTTCTGCAACTTCACCGGCGTCAGCCAATGGACGGAGCCAGCTCCCCTGGGCGAAGAAGACCAGAAGCTGTGCAGCCACTCTCGCTTAGCTGCCGCTGCCGTGGAGCCCGACACAGTGCAGGTCGCGGCAATCACGAACCTCGGTCTGGCGTGTGTGTACAAGCTGAAAGCATCCGGATCGAGCTGGTCTCTGCTCGGTGGTCGACAGCCGTACCCCAGAGTGCCTCCTCAGGACGTGCCGGATGGATATACGGGTGAGAGCGGGACGAAGACGGTTGCTGATGCGACACACTGGAGTATCAATCCTTACGGTGATATACATCTTGGGATGGAGACGGAAGGCATGACGCTCACTTGTGCGGGAACGTTTCCTGGTAAGTCGGCGATTTTGCAGCGGCGGATTAACAGGCTTGGTGATCGGTGGTATCGATTGCCATAGTCGCGTCAGAATGTCTTTCGGCGAATCGTTCTTGGGATGCTTGGAATGTTCGGTTGGGTTTCTACTGGTCGTTTGAGGACAAAAGTTGATTCTTTCCAGCTCATGAGGGAAAAATGGTTTTATCCAATGCACGACCAGTTGTCATCTTTGAAGTTGTTATCTAGTGGTACTAATAGTATAGCCTGATCAGTTACATGACTGAGATTAAGATCAAAACATCTGAATATATCATGCATATATGCTCGATCACGAATAATGAGAGTGCAAAAGAACTAGTAATCATTACGGGCTGGAGCGCAGTACCAAATTCGTTGATGCTACCGAATGCATCCTGCATCAAATCGCTGCAGACCTCACTTTTAACCAGACCTGAATTCATATGAGTTTACTCATGATGTGAGATGAATGTGAGACGAGTCCATAAGAAAGACTCGAACGTCCGTGATATCCAAGAAAGAAACCCTACACAGGGTACACTAACTTTGCGCATCATCGCTCGTGGCCGCCGACTCCTTCCACCCATTCTTGCCTGTATTCTCCCAGATCGGGAGCTTCGAATTCATCCGCAGCCTTACAAGCGACGTCGGCACAACCGTCTCCCACGGCTCGCCCTGCACTTTTTCCGTGCCGACGTTCTTCTCGGCCTCCTCGACCTCCTTGGCCAGGCTGGCATATTGATGGAACGACACGCGAGACACCGGCCCGGCCTGCCAGAGCCGGCCCGTCTCCATGAAATACAGTACGTCTTTGCCGAAGCCCGGCTTGGCGGCGAAGTGCACTTTCGCGGCGCCGGCCTTGACGAAGTCGGCGAAGACCGGGTCGGCAGAGGAGAAGGTGGCACGAGCCGCCCAGGTGGACCTTCGAGCCCAGTAGTATGGGTACAGAGTATATGGAGTGACCTTGTTGACCCATTGATAAATTCCCGCTATGTTTTTGGATCCAGTCTTGTTGTTTTCGAACTCATGTTTTACGTTTTCTTCAAACTGCGCTATAGTGGTCGAAGTCGTCGACTTGAACGTTTTCACGATGACTTTGCTCGATGCGCGAGACGTAACATCCTTCGAGTACTGACTTGCAATCTTCGTGGCTGACTCGCGTGACTTGTTCTCGGCCCAGGAGGCGTTGGACTTGACATCAACAGTAGGACCGTATTTTGCCGAGATACTGATACCGGCTTTGTTCGCAGAATCTTCTTTGATGACATTGGAAGCCACTCTGTTCAACGCAAACCGTTCCGTCATTTGCGAATCGCGCTGTTCCTCCGTCTCCGTAGACGATGTGGTCACGGTGGTCAGTTCCGTCCGGTCTAGACGTTTGGTTTCACGGACAAAGTGCTCGGATTGAAGTACGTTCTGGATGTTACCGATCTCGGCTTTCTCATAACGGACGATATGGTCACGCACGACTATTAGATCTCCAACGCCTGTTGGCGACACCAATGGAGCTAGCGGAGTGGGAAGTTTGGTGCCTGAGACGCTGTCGCCTTCCTTAAAAGCTCCCAATTGCAGCCATGTGGGCGAAACATTGACAATCCCGAGATGCCCGAGCGGGAATACGCCCTTTGAGGCGCTCACGGTGTCGTTGGTCTTTTCTTCTGCTGTAATAGCCTTTTCGAGTTGATTTGTGGCCCTGCGCAGAGCATTCAACAGACCTTGATGCAGATTGGGTAGAGGAATCCATGTGTTTGCCCCAAAAACACCATCCACGGCTTTAGCACCATCCTCGCTAAGGAGCTCTGTTCTCCACTCCGGTTTGATGAGCGGAGGGTTGGCCAGAGTGTACTTCCAGCCCGGAGTATCCTCTTTCCAATCGAAGTAGCCATAAACACCACCACTGCTGAGGACACCAAGGGCTTCTGACAGAGTTGCAACCAATTGTGTTGCTGCCTCTACAGTCGGGATAGCTGGCACAATGAGGTCCCTAACAGACACATTTGATCCTCCAGTTGGCCGTTCAGGCGGCTTGAGACTTGAGAGTACGAGTGATTTGAGAAAGAACTCTCGAGTGGCGTCGTCGAGTTTGGTCTCTCGATCCTCCGCGTGCGGATGGTCAGTCTTCGTCGCAAGGCTTGCCGCGAAGGACTTGACTAGGTCATAAAGCTGTCGGAATCTCTCTGCAATTGGTCCGAGGGCATCGATGTCTGTGGCTCGCACGAACAGATGCACTAGAGCAATATCTAGTCGCGACTCATCAGAGCTCCAGTTTCTCTCAGTAATCAACTCTGGCAAGTCATGATACTCAAAAGCTTTCTGAATGCTCTGGCGGACAAGCTTGGTGGGTAAATTGTCCTCAGTAACGCCATTGGTCATGCCTGCTGTGATCAAATCATCGAGCTGTCTGATATTCCTGCCATAGCTAAGCTCTTCGATGATCTGTTTCTCTCCTTGAACAGCCGAAACATGAGTCCACGACTCTCCAAAGCTACGCTCAATCTCGCTCCACGTCTTGCCTTCTAGGCTCGGCGCTTCCCTCAGACCTATGGCTCCTCACAGGTATCATTCATAATTCTTCCGACGGCGCCAACATCTCCTCAAGCAATATCGCGAAGCCGAATCATACCCACCGAGACGGTGAGGAGCGAACGACAAGACGCGAAGTCCCTGCCCGATACGACGAAGAGTGGTCGAGCGACGACAGTGAGCACTCGAGTGACAGCGATTTGAGTGAAGATGATCCGAATTACGACAACGAGGGCTTGGAGGACGATGAAGAGCATCAGAGCTCTAGGAAACACGGTCGCTGGTCACCAGCAGACGATGAGCGCTTGATCCAATGGAAGAAGGAGGGGAAAGAATGGAAATGGATCTTCCAGCAATTTCCTGGACGGACCCAGGCGTCAGTTCGTTCACGCTGGTACGTCACACTACGATCAAAAGCGGAATCGTCTTGATCAATAGTCGCACCGAATCCTGTATCAGTCTTATGGTAAAGCTTTCCAGAGGGAGACAGTGGGAGTCCAAAAGTCGATGCCCTTCCCAGTTAGCTCCCAAAGATGCTTTTTGTATCCTGCCAGCGCCCACCGGTACATCTTCTCTGCCTCGTCCAGCTTGCCCTGATCCGCGTAGGTTGCCCAGGGTGTTAATCGTGGTGGGTGTGGATATATACTTCATCCAAGCGAAGCGATCGATCAGCTTCAATGCTTCGATCAGCTGTGCAACACCATGCCCGCCCATCGCCGAATCCTGCAGTGTCCCGAACGCGCCCTTGGCCGGAACTGGTCCTAAGCTTGCATGAACGGTACTTGCTGCGGTCTCGATGCTCGAGGGTGTATGCTCGGCAGTCCCGGTGCAGAGAACACGTCCCCCTTGGCAATGTGGAAGGCGGTTTGGTAGGAATGCATTGCGATGTATTCGTTTGTCTGTTGGAGGATCTGCGCGTAGTCGACCTTTCACGTCATGGTCCTTTCGCGTACCTGGATAGAGCATCAGGCGGTAGTACTGTGCGATATCTAGCTCGGCATAAAGTCCCATAGAGATATAGGTCGCGACATAGGCCATTACCTCTCAAGGTATAGTATCCTTCCATGGCTTTGCCAACTGCTGTAGCGGGCTGAGCGCGGTGGAGACATGCGAATTCATTTGTATGACGAGCAATTATATCTAGCAGCTCGTCGGTAAAGGAAGGGATTAAATATTCGCTACGTGCGATCCGGCGAGACGCATTTGGCAAAAGGTTAGTTCAGTGGAGTGAAACTCACGGATCATCGCTTCCGTCACCTTTGTTTTGGGCCTAGCCCTTTCTGGCGCGAGCGTGCTGAGTAAGCCTTCAGCGGAGCCGCGTTGACTTGCGGGGGTATGTTGCTCATTCTTAACATCGTCACCGCTTCATGTACGATACTCAACACAAAAATTACCAACTTCGCTTAGGGCACAACCTCAATGGCCAAGAATCCCCCCGACAAAAGACTGGTCTACCTAGTATTAAAAAACGTTTTCAAGGGAGCTGACGCGCAAGTGCGCGACCCAAAGAAAATTCGCAAACGCATTGACACTGTAGCGACGTCCGGGATCTTATCCACGAGCACAATATTGACAATGTTTGCCATGTGGCGAAAGTCCTTCTTGAACAGCAGATATTCGAATCTACACTGAAGGCCAAGGCCCGTTTTCCAGAGGTATTCGAGGTGTCTCCGGCACAGAGTGCAGAGCGCGCAGTATCTGAGGCTGAAGCAGCAAAGACTGAAGCGGATGCTATCAAAGGTGCTGCTGAGAGTCATACCCTTCCTCCTCCTCCCCCTCCAACAGGCGACAGGAGATAGAACCCGCATCACTCGGAGCGTTAAACGGAAGAGAAAGGACACGGTAACATTCACAGCCTTTAATAAGACACCTGGCTTCGAGTTTCACCGGTGGGAGCGAGGGAAGAGGTACCAGGCTAGATGAAGCTGCATGGGCTTATCGCAGTCCTCAAGGAGACAATCATACAACAGAGTCAGATTATAGAAGCACTGAAGGCAGGACAAGAAGAGCTCAAAGCGGGATAGAGAAAGCCGGCCGAAACGGATGAAGCCACGGGGACACAACTATCGCATACAGGCTCTGCTCCGTCGAGGAGGTTTTTGGAACTCTGAGAGTCAGGGATAACCGGCATATCCTGGAAATGTTAGCAGTATCCTATGAACCACCTAGTAATCAAAGCGCACTTCAGTCTGATACGGTTCGCTGTCCGCTATTGTGGTATCTGAATCGCTCATTGTTAAAACGGATGGCCGGATGAAACTGATGATAAAGGCGTCCTTGGGAAAGAGAGGGTAGTAGTTTCGTTGGGGGATGTCGTGCTTTGTGTAGGGCCGGTCCGAGGTATGAAGGTCTTTTTGTATTATCCCCTTCGTCGCTGCCTAGCAGACGGGGAGAGTTGACACGGCGGGCAGCTCAGCTGCACCTTGAAATCCGCCCATGCAAACTGACTGAAAGATCCCACCTCTCCAGTATCATCAATGCGCCTTGCTACGGCGACACGCTAATGACTTCGGTCATGCCACATCAACATTCAAAGGATCGAGATAATGCATAACTTTGCTTGAAGCAGGGGTATCTGCACTACTATGCCTGGTGTCAAAAGCTTACAATTTTTTGAACCGAGCCTTTATTTTATCTCGCCTCTTCCGTTTCGGCTTTTCTAGTGGGTATAGCTCCCCTCGAGATTTAAACTGTAGCAGGTCAGCGTATATATGTCCCAAGCATCTTGCGAAGCATTCCCAGGCTTACCCCTTGCATGCCGCCATCTGACGCTGCTGCTTCATGTCTGCAACCCAGTTCACTGCAGCTTGCTGCAAGACTGCTCATCGACGTTAGAGAGCCAGGGCTTCCGTCATTCAGCCTTCCTTGCCTTCCCTCTATTGTCTTCTACCTGAGCTGTAATCAGTGATGCAGAAAGATCGATTGAATCTGGATTCGAATCAATCGATCCATATAGATCGAGTATAGATCGAGTCGTCGACTCCGCCGCGCTAGCCGCCTTAGAGTATCCGAACCGCGGTACGAGGCTCTTGGCATGGTTTAGGACCGAGGTTAAGTATGATTGACGTGGTGATTGGATAAAGGGAGCTGGCGGAGCTTTAGAAGGTCGGTGATTGGCTAAGGGGAGGGTGCAGAGGCTTGCGGAGGTGGCGAATACTGCTATACCTTATAATATTAGCTGCTAGCTACCTTAATTGATGTTTTATGCTTCCTCTCTCACCGAATCACTTACTGCACCACGATGGCGCTCGTTAATAGCATCACCGCTAGCCAATATACTATGTTTTCATTAGTTAATAGCCAAGCAGCTGAAGATATATCCTTGCAGCTCACCACCGCTCCTTCTAACCCTTCCGCGCCTACCGAGCTCCAACGGTTAAGCGCATATAGTCTTGATGCGCAAGCTGGTGACGTTCAGGCGGTTAAGAACAAATTTAATCTATCCTAGGTCAACATTAGCCACGCGTACCTCACTAGCTATCATCTAGGTATCTCTTAGAGTATTTAGTAACTCACCGCATGGTGGTAGCGGCTAGGAGCACCGCTCGAGGAGAGCTCGACCGGCAAGCGTTTCTAGCTTTATAAGGACTGCCACCTAAACCACCCTCCAGGATAGCTAAAGATGGACCGGTGCCATCTATATAACGTTAATAAAGGAGGCGCCGTAGCTAGGTCTCACTTACTTAAGATTCATTACACAACAAAGACCGGCGCTATGTCTCCTAACTCAAAAAGGAGGCGAGGGGACGTATCTACTATAGAGGAGCTTAGTCTAGATACGAGTAACCTAAAGGATCAGCTTATACTTAATAAGATAGCGCTCTCGTTTAACCACTATACCTTTAAGCGGCTCCTAATCCAATAGCTAGTATCTAATAACCTAGCATTTGCAATAATAGAGAGCGAGAGCTTTTAAAAGCTTATAATCTACCTCCAGCCGCGCGTTCAGGCGTTCTTGCCAAGTCGATCAACAGTGAGGTCCTAGATAGTAGCTAAGTATTTAGTACTTAAGCAACTCGTTATAAAGGAGCTCTAAAAGGCACTAGGACTCATCTATATATACTTCGATCTCTGGATATCAAAGAACCTCCTCAGCCTTAACAGGATAGTTGTCCATTATGCTGCCGCTGCTACTAATACCTTAAAGACCTTCTTACTCGAACTACCAGAGCAGCAAGGTAGCTACTTAGAAGCTAATATCGCGGATACGGTAGCGGTTATTATCAAGGAGTTCGAGATTTAGGATAAGCTTGGATACTTTATATTAGATAACACGTCGAATAACGATCTCTATGTGCGGAAGCTTACTAAACGCTTTAAGTTTAACCCTAAACACCGCCGGCTCCGTTATATTAGTTATATTCTAAACCTTGTAGTAAGGGAGGCGCTATTTAGAAGTGAGGTTAACGTCCTTAAAGCTCAACTAACCGCGCGGAGGGAGCTACTCGACGAATTAACACTTTAGCGTCGGAGGGGGCCAATTAGGAGGCTTCACAATCTTATTATCTAGATATATAAGTCACCTTAGCGCAAGACCCGCTTTCATGAAGCCTAAAGGAAGTTTCTTACCCTCCTAAAAACTAAGGACGATGCCACAACTAGCGCGATAACACTAGATCTTATTCAAGATAATAGTATAAGGTGGAACTCCACTTATAGGATAATTAACCGCGCAGTTAAGCTCCGGCTTACTATTAAGTTCTTTATTAACACTAAACAAATGCGATATAAGGGATTAATGTAGTAAGATTAAAAGCTAAAGGATCCCAGCGCTCTATCACTAGTTATCTTTAAAGACCGGCTGACTACTAATAATTAGGACGTGCTAAATAGATATATAAAGCTGCTAGCGCCGCTTAAAGAGTTAATAAAGGAGCTAGAGGGCCGTCTAGAGGCCGGGTATAAAGGTTACCTCTATAAGGTGATACCGGCATTCAAATACTTACTCGAACTCTTTAAGAACGCGATAAATAAGTATACTAACCACGCGGAGCATCACTTCCGCTCTAATATTCAGTTAGCTTGGCAAAAGCTTAATTAGTACTACCTTAACCTTAACGATAGTCCATCTTACCTTACTGCGGTTATCCTCCATCTAAGGCACAAATAGCCGTACATCTACTCCCGCTAGGCTGGTAAGCCGACCTAGATCGATAAGGGTGAAAAAGCCATCAAGAAGCTCTAGGAGGATGAATATAGTAAGCTACTAGTTAACAGGCTAGCGGCAGTGATTCAGAAGCGTCTAGAGCTTTTTAGATTTAAGGTATTAATGGCGAGAGGGCTAATAAGCCCTAGTACTATTAACGGCGATAAGTATAAAGCTTAAATTAAGCTAGAGTAGTGTCTATATAACGATCCTATTAAATACTAGATAGCGCGCTCTACCACTTATCTACGGCTATCTAGAATAGCGCTTAACCTCTTTATAATCCTAGTAATAAGCTTAAAGGTAGAGCGCATCTTTAGCTTAGCTAGCTTAATAGTAACTAACCGCCGCAACTATCTTCAACCTAATATTATTCAAGCCGCTTAGTGTATCCGGTTATAGGAGCATCACGGTATTATAGTGGGCGCATCGGTTGCGGCGGAGGGGCCGGAGGAGGTAGGATAGGAGCGGTGAGGGTATGCGACAACGGCGGTAAGGTTTGCGGACAGGGTAGGAGGTCTAGCATTGACGGCGTGGTGGTTGAATAGATAGCTATAGACACAGCATAAGAAAACGAGAGATTTAAGCTCTAACACCATGCCAAGCATACCTAAAAACTAACTATAAACGGCTAGCCGCGAGGCACGTGTTAGACCTAGACTGAGTCGACGAGTCGATCCAGACTCGAGAATTCAGGGTCCGATCGAGTCTAATCGATCTTTCTGCATCACTAGCTGTAATACCTCCTAACTATAGCCTAGATCGTTGTAGCTAGCTGCAAGACTATCCATTATCTCCAGCATGGAAGAGTGGTGCTATGAGAATGCTAGGGCGGTGGGATAATCGACTCCAAGTGTTCTTTTATAGCTGTCGTACGCCCTCTAGTACAGCACCGATGCATCTTCGTAATACTACTACTTGTAGAGTAAGTAAGCGAGATAGTAGACGCTCGCTAGCGTGTCGGGATACTTCTTTCCTAGTACCTTCTTAGATCCTTCTAGATCTCGCCTATATAGTTCTTCTACCTACTTATACTTACCCTAGGCTCGTAGCACTTCTACTAGATTATTAACGCTTATTAGCGTGTTAGAATGCTTCTTTCTTAGCACCTTTTTCCTCCCTTCTAGCGCTTATTAGTTCATCTCCTCTATCTCCTTATACTTACCCTAGCACTATAGTATTTATACTAGGTTATTAACGCTCGCTAGTATATTAGGATACTCTCTTTCTAGCACCTTTACTCTTATACTTACTACTTTTCTTACCATCCTCTTTGCTATAATATAGCTCCCTTTAGCCCTTATATACTAGCTAGCATTATAAAGAATAGAAGCCTAGTCTTTTAACAAGCTCTTATTAGCTAGCTTCTATCCTACTACTACTTCGGTATGTGTAAATAGCGTCTAATACCTCCCCTAGTTCTAATAGTCTCCTGTAGGAAAGGCTCTATATATCCTTATAATGTAATGCTACTTCCATCTCTCTAGCTGACTATACGCTTCTAACTACCTTCTTGTTAATAGCTATACTAGTCCATGCATCTCGAACGTATTCCCCGCTATATTTATAGCGATTAACGAATAACTCTTTAAGATAGCTATATCGTCTTCGAATTCCTTGTCGGTACTATCTTCAGACTCTATACTACTACCCTCATCCTCTTCACTATTGTCGTTCTTATACCTAATGTTACTAATATCGTTATTGCTATAGCCTCTCTTATAAGAGTGGAGCAAAAACTCTGGGATTCCTTACCGGTTAAAGAAGCTTATTAGCGACAGCAAGTTAGCAGCCGACGGCTTCGTATCCCGAATGTGGTCGAATAATATCTGCCATGTAGTAATGATCGAGTTCGAAGCACTATTGTCCCTGCGAAGGTCTCTAGTATTGTAGTTTAGGAGATTGGTTTTGCTCTTATCGCTCTTGCGGAACTCGTCCACGTACTTCGATATAGAGCTTCGAGGCGCTACTCGATTGATGTACACAGCTGCTTAAGCGATGGTAAGAGGCATGTAGTCAAGCGCTTGTGTTAGCTTCGGGGCGGTTTCCTTATCGAACAGGTGTCCAAGCTTCTTCTCAAGGAGCGCTAGAGCATGACCTTAATCCATCGGCTCGACTCTTATAATATCTCTATGCGCCCCAGTCAATCTAAAAGCCGTGTCTTCATCTCGTGTCGTGATGAGAATCGATCCATTGTGACCTTAAGGCAGATACGTTGAGAGCGATGGCACTTGTCTACTACCTGAGTCGCCAGACGGTGGTTCTTGCCTTCCACCGCGAATGTCGAAGAAGACGCTGACAACATCGGCGTTGTCGAGTACCATGAGCCACTTCCCCTTTCCCTCATTGCATAGCCAGCTGCGCACGAGTTGCAAGATGTCCGCTTTTGGCTCATTACGCCCAAGCAGTTTAATCTTGTCCGCGATCGCTCTGTAGCCTTCCTCAAATCGGGCTGCCGTGCTGGCATGAACCCAAAAGACCCAGGTCTGCGGTGACCTTTCCCTAACCCGGTAGGAATACTCAATAGCAAGCTGTGACTTCCTTTTACCAACTCAGCTCTTCGACTCATATCGGTAGTGTTTCCAGGCTTACCCGACACCTCCCAGGCCGAAAAGAGCTGCACGAGAGGCTGGCGCAGAACATTTCTCGTGTATCTGATTGAGGATCTCTCCGCGGTCAACGAAGTCGACGTCGCGCCGAAAGGGGATGGTGTCCGATGGGCTTGGCGGTGTCTCCGGTCTTTCTATGGAAAGGTAGAACGCTGTTAGCATTGATAGCCTCAAGAGTACTCGCGAGGATTGGCTTACCAGGCTTGGGGTAGAAGTTTGCCGAAAAGGTCCCATGATTGTAACCTAGTTGAACACCCCGGTTGTCGCCGAAGAAGTTCGTTGTCGTGTCCATATGCGCCATCATACATGTATCTGGCTCGACGCTATCGCTCCAGCCGGTAATATGAAGCTTCGAGTGATAAAGAAAATGTTTTTGCTTCAGTATAGGACAAGGCTGTTGCTCGTCCTCAGCTGGCTCTTAGGTTACTATTTATAGCACAACCACGCCGCATCGCAACAGGTGGGCTGTTTATCCCACCTCACGAATAGAACACTCTCCTTCGCTCATCAACATCGAACAAGACCACTCTTCATATCATCTCAAGCTACTATTCTAAGGCTATTTCCATGGTGTTCAGCTTTCGACGAGCACTCAATTAGGCACATATTCTGGAGACTTAGTCGCCAACACACGCACTGCCTGGTTCCCACGTTAAAAACCATGGAGCCTGCCAGCCTGGTAACAGGCATCATTGCCCTCGCTGGCCTCTTCAACAATGCCGTCGACTGCTTCGAGTACGTTCAACTCGGACGCAAGTTTGGCAAAGACTTTCAAACCAGCTTGCTCAAGCTGGACAATGCAAGGCTGCGGCTATCGCGATGGGGCCAATCCATAGGACTGAGTGGCGACCTCCAAGACGTGCAAACACTCAATCAGACGCTTGTTTCAGCAGAGAATGTAAAGAAAGCCGACGAGAGACTTAGCCAAATCCTGGAGCTCTTTGCCGACGCAGAAGGGGTGTCAGCTAAGTTCAAGAGCCGCACCAAACCCGACGACGCAACCCTACTAGAGCAAGCTATCGGAGCCGGGTTAGATCCTGTAGCAGCATCTCTTCATCAAAAGATGCGCGAACTCTCAATCAAGCGGCAGAATCAGACAAGCTTGCGACAAAAGACGAAGTGGGCACTGTATGAGGAGAAGCATTTCAGAAGGCTGATTGAAGATACTACCGATCTGGTCGATGGCCTAGTGGAGCTGTTCCCCGCAGCTCAAGTGACTCAGCGGAACCTCTGCGAGATAGAGGTGTCAGAGATGGGGACAGATGAGAGTCTTTCTGTATTAAAGGATGTTGCTGCGGATCAGGACGCGTATCTGGAGGATGCCGTTTTGAAAGCTATTGAAAGGCGCATGTCTCAGAGTGGTGGATCTAATGCTGCCTTCTATGGAGCCAACTACGGCATGCAACTGCATACGAACACTGGTACTATGAACAACACCCTTGGTAGAGGATAGTAGCCGCTTGCAGACAGGATCAGAAAAGACGCAGTAGTGTAAAAGGATTGAATGAAAGCTGTCTCTTTTGCAATCTTTGTAATTTCAAACAATCTTTGGGCTGTCTTAACTGAGTAGTTCTGTGCTATTGATGAAAGTATTGGGACTCCGCATGACATCAAGTGTGAGCGTTATGTAACTCCATCTCAGAGCATCTTGCAATCCTGCTCTGCAATAAAAGAGCCATCTCATTTCATTCAATTTCAACCAAGCATTACTGTTGAATTCAGCGGAAGTTGATGTACTCAATGTCTTAAGGTGTTCGGAGCCGTATCTAATTTCGTTTCCTCTGGGGCCGGGGGTTTGGAGGGGGACGCCCGGTAGCTAGTCTAGTCCTTAGCGAGGATCCGTGGCCACTGTGCCGCGAATCCTGCAACAGTGCATAAACATCGCACTTGAAGTCCACCCGCGAGGATATTATGGATATGTGTACAGAAGCAGAAGAGCCGGCGACAGCGAGTGGGTCAACCACGCAGGGTGGATCAGCAGGCGCTAATGGAGGGCGACCCGGTGGGGAAGCAACACATGCTCCCGTAGCTTGATCGGAGCTGAACCACTAGCCCATAAGATCCCGTCTAGAGCCCGCCGCCAAAGCATCGACAACCCCACCCTTTGGTCTGCGTGATAGAAATGCTCACACCTGCCATGACCAGCCCGCACGCTACAATAAACTTTCCAGGCAATCACAATCAAGGCTCGCAGGTAGGGGTAAACTCTGGAAATATCAATAACTACTACGGCGGCGTGCCGGGTGAGTCTTGCTGAGTAATTCAGGCTCCAAGGCTAACACTTTCATCTGCGAAAGAACAACAGGCAAAGAGGGAGCCCTTCTCTACTGTCCCCTTCAACCAAGACCCGCATTTTGTCGATCGCGGCGACACTCTTGAGCAGATCCACGAGAAGTGCTCTTATCCAGCTGCTCGCGTAGCTCTTGTTGGCCTGGGAGGTGTAGGGTGAGTTTCGCGACCGTCGATGTTGTACTTGCAAAGCCTCTAACCATACCAAAGCAAGTCCCAGCTTGCCATCCAATACTCCTACCAAGTGCGCAGGAGTTCCCCGCAGACCTGGGTGTTTTGGGTGCACGCGAGCACCGGAGCCAGATTCGAAGAAGGATACAAGCTCATCGCAGACAGGCTTGAGCTTCCTGGCCGAGATGGTGCTCAGGTCAACATACTTCAGCTGGTCAGCAACTGGCTCTGTGATGAGAGAAATGGTCGATGGGTGATGATCGTGGATAACGCTGATGGCGCCGCTACCTTTTTCAACCAGACTGCGGGACAGCTAGTCGGTCAACCTGGCAGACAATCCAGAACGCCACCGTCACTGGCGACCTTTCTCCCTCAAACTCAGAACGGCTGCATCCTCTTCACATCCCGGAGCGGAGATGTGGCTTTCAAACTAACTGGCAGTCGCAAGAATATTATTAAGGTTGGGCTGATAGACCAAGGGTAGGGTCTAGCCCTCCTTCGGAACAAACTAGGCAATAATTAGGACGAAACCAGCGCATTGGACCTACTCCAGGCTCTTAGCTACATGCCCCTAGCGATCACCCAAGCAGCTGCATACATCAGCCGACTAGAACCTCGAAGCTGTGTCTTAAAGTACCTTAATTAGTTCTATAAGAGCGATAAGAGCAAGGAAAGTCTCCTTAATAAGGATGTAGGCGACCTCCGCTGGGATACTAGCACATCCAACTCTATTATTATTACCTAGCAGATCTCATTTGAATAGATCTGTGAGGGGAGGCCTAGCGCAGCCGGGCTGCTTTCGCTAATAAGCTTCTTTAACTAATAAGGGATTCCAGACTTTGTACTCCGTGCCTATACGAAGGGTCAAGATACTAATCCGAAGGAGGATCCCGATATCGAGTTCGAAGAAGATGTGGCTACTTTAAGCAGTTACTGCCTAATCACAATAGACATAGAGGGCAACGCATTTAAAATGTACTAGCTTATACAGTTTTCTATAAGAAAGTAGCTGGAAGCATATAGCGATCTAGATCTGTGGAGGCAGAAGTTTCTAAAAACCCTATCTATAGAGTTTCTAATAGGGGAGTACGAAAACTAGAGTAGGTGTTAAGTTCTGTTTCCGCACGCTAAAGCGGTAGTAGGATAGAAGCTAGCTAATAAGAGCTTGTTAAAGGACTAGGCTTCTATTCTTTATAATGCTAGCTAGTATATAAGGGCTAAAGGGAGCTATATTATAGTAAAGAGGATAGTAAGGAAGGCGGTAAGTGTAAGAGTAAAGGTACTAGAAAGAGAGTATTCTAATATACTAGCGAGCGTTAATAACCTAGTATAAATACTATAGTACTAGGGTAAGTATAAGAAAGTAGAGGAAATAAACTAATAAGCGCTAGAAGGGAGAAAGAAGGTACTAGGAAAGAAATATCCTAACACGCTAATAAGCGTTAATAACCTAGTAGGAGTGCTATAAGTCTAGGGTAAGTATAAGTAGGTAAAAGAACTATATAGGCGAGATCTAGAAGGATTTAAAAAGGTGCTAAAAAAGGAATATTCCTGTACGCTAGCGAGCGTCTACTATCTTACTTACCTACTACACAAGCGAAAGTAGTATATGCAAGTAGAAGTCCTCTATTAACGAGCTTATACTAGTTATACAAAAGTGCTAGGATTCAATCATCCTAACATACTTGCATGCTCGAGGACCTATTCTTCTATAGTAGTAGAGATAGCTGATTAGACCTAAGTCCCTAGCGGTTAGCATTTCTCTTTCTAGAATTCTTTCGCAATTTTAGGATTTCTAACTCGAACGAAGCGCAGTCCGTGCTTAGTAACATGCAGGTATACTAAACTCAATAATATACTATTAGTAGATATATTATATGCAGATACTTTGATATCCCTAAGGGAAATGAAGGAACTAGAATACCCTTATAGTCGGAAGCGGATTGGCTTTTCTAGATTACTAATAGAACCGTAAACGCCATACCATCATCTACAGATAATATAGGTACTAGGGTAATGCAACAGGCCACGTGATGTAATAATAATCTATAGAATTATAAAATACTTTAATATACTATTTAATAGACTATAATGCTTGTACCGCTAGTGTAATAGCTAAACTAGAATTATAGTAGCCTCTATAATATACTATAATTACTAAAAAATAGAAGATCGATAAGAGTATACTCTAGTAGTAATATAAAGGCGAAACTGGTATAATTTAAGACACTAACTCCTATACGCGCTAGAAGCTTATAAGTGTATAAAAAGAAGCGCTTATTAAGTATATAAGTAAGCTAACTAACCGGGGCCTTTTGCCGATCCTATAAATAGTTAAGAATACTACTAAAGAGATTATTAAGATAAAGCTTAGGAACTACTAGTCGCCTACTTCGCTAGCGGTATCTCTAGCGCCTTACTAGTATATACCTATAAATAATATATTATAAACGCAAGGTTATAGATAACTTATAGTACTTTCACTAGTTCTTTAATATAGCTAGTATCTTCCTAGCTATAATATAGTAGCAGATAGTTTAATTCTTATTCCTAAAGCTAATCTTTATAGACTAGCTTTATAATAAGCTAGAGAAGTATAACGTCGCGCTGTTAAATATATATAACTTTAATAAGAAAGGCTTATTAATTAGCTTATTAAGATCTATAAAGCGAGCTATCGCCCCTAAAGCGCTTATAAAGTAATAGGTATACACCTATTTAGTCCTAATTAAGTAACCGCTACTATCGCGAGGGCGAATATAACGCCTAAATAGTAATAGGTAAAAACACTAAGGTTAGTATAGTCCTTATACCGTATATTTAGTAAACTATATAGAGAGGGTTATATTAATATAGAAGTATCGCTCTTACTCCACACTAGCGAAAAGCTAGTAACTAAGGTGGAGCTATTACACTACAAAACTATAAGGCTATAGAAGGTAGTAATAGAGGATAAGAAGAAGTATAAGTATAGTAAAGCTATAAACCTATACACTAAGGGTGAAAGTAATAGCTAGCTATTATTTTTTAGCCCTTTAAGAGTTAAATAGCTTACTAGTAAGTAGCCGATAAAGTATAGGCGGAATATTAGTGTAAATAAGCTATAGAGAATTAAAGGCTTTAATTAGCTATAACACGCGCGTAAAAAGCTTATTAAGTGGAGGAGAAGAAAATAGCGCGTAATATAGCGCATAATATAGTAAAAGAAGCGCGAGCTTATAAAAAGGCTAAGTAAGTAGCTAAAAGCGCAGTATAATAAGTAAGTAAGCGTAAAGGAGCCGCGAAATAGTAGTAGTAGGTAGCCTAGAAAATAAAATAGTACATTATAGTAAAAGAAGTAGCAAAAATAACTACTAAGCTAAAAAAGAGGCGGTTTATAGAAAAGAAGCTAGAGGCGGCTTAGAAGCTACCTTACGTAAGGCTTCCCACCTATAGTAGTAAGTAAGGAGATAGTAGTTTAAGAGCTATACTAGGTTCTCTAAATACTAAGCCTTAGACCGAAGCAATTTCTACTATAAATAGTAAAGATTCTATTAAGCGCTAGCGAAATGTAGATTAAACGCCTATTTTATAAAGGTTACGCTCTAGGCGTATTATAAAGCTATCTAGACAATTTAAATAGTATATCTAATAGTTAAATAGCTTTTAGCTATACTATTCTATCTTATTTAAGAGATTTAAATCTATACTTAAGCTAGTTATATCGCAATATTAGTTTCTACCTATTTCTATAGTTTTAGAATATTATTATATTATATAGCCTATTATATCACCCTATTAACTATATTAGATCGAGTTATAAAAATACTAGATTCTTATTTAAATTAAGTACACTATTTTAATAAATAAGAATAGTACTATCTATATACTAATTAGTTCTTTTTTCCTACTAGTAGTAGATAGTAGTGCTAGTACTACTATTCTCTACTAGTTATACTATCTATTCTTAGATCACGTTGTCTTAACCTACTAGTAGTAGCTAGTAGTTATATAACTACTATCTAGTACTAGCTACTACTTAGCCTTACACTAGCCCCTTTAGTATTATTAGTAAGGTTATAATAATACTACTTTTAATAGGACGCGTCGCGAGTTTACTATACCGCTATTAGTAGTAGATATTATAAAAGGGATAGAGATTTATAAATAGATCTATAAAAACTACTTTAAGCGTGTTAGTTGTACTAGTTAGTATGTTATATAGTAAAACCTTAAGTAGTAGGCTAATTGTAACTATAGATATAAGATACCTATAATTTAGAAAGGATATTATAGCACTAGGGCCTATATTAGGTACGCTTTTTATTATATTTAAAAGGGCCCTTTAAACACGTGATAACCTTCCTTTAGATAGTAAGACTCTTAAAAAAGAAGCTAAGAAACTTATTAGGGACTTTAACACCACCCTTAAAAAGTGTTAGGAGATTCTTAAGAGTAATAAGGGGATCCTAAAAGATAGCTCTAGTTTTATTAAAAATATAAAATAGAAGTATTAACGCAAAAGCAGGTGAATAAGCTATATATCCGAATTTAATTCTAAATTTAGAAAATCGACTTTTTTATAAAGTTGGTTAAGCTAGAGTAAGCTAACGCGCTATATAAGAATATATAGGAAATTCTAGCTTATATAAGGGTGTTACCTAGCCTATCTTTTAATAGGCCTCTTAAGTCTATTCCTAAATAGCTTAATACTCGATTCTATAAGGCTCTATAAATTAACCTACTAGTCTTCTATATAGATATCGACAATCTCCCGCTTAAATATAGCTATAAGACTCTCTTCTAATACTACTAATAAAGCATGGTTATTAACTTCTAAACTAGTAATTAAATTATAGAGTAGTACCTTAACCTATATAAGGCTTATTAGATCCTTAAAACTCTAAAGCGTAGCAAGCTATTTAAGATATTACCCCTAGGCTTATACTATTTACGGATTATCGCGTAACTTAAGCGGAGAAGGTTTAACTATATAGTAAGGCGGTATTATAACCTAATTATAAAGAATAGCGGTTATAGTTAACATTCCCTACTAATAGCAAATTAGTAGCTATTTAAAAGAGGAGAGTCTACGCTAATAAATAGGTTTAGCTTAATTATAATACTATAGTCTAAAGGGACCGAAATGCGTGCCTAGCATGTATATATAATTAAGATTGTAGCTATTAAGGTTTATAATTATCTTAGTAGAATATTAGACTAAACCCTATTACTAAAGGGCTATAAAAGTAGTTAGTACTATAAATCTCTAATTTAATATAATACTAGTCACTCTAGTACTACTATCTAGTGCTATTAGCTAACTAAGCTAGCCTAAGCGAGCGCCCTTCCTATTTCTAACCTACTTAGACTCTTAGATGTCCTCTAAATTAAAGTATAATATTTTAAACTCTAACTCTATTCCTAACTATAGGTATCTCTAAATAATTATCTAGCATCTCCTATAGAATCTAGTTCCATTCCGCCTAACTCCTAATTCTCTTA